CTTGATTGCCCCTAACCCAGCCGTGGGCAAACTATGGCCCGCGGGCCGGATCCGGCCCGTTTGAAATGAATAAAACTAAAAAAAAAAAAAAAAAGACCGTACCCTTTTATGTAATGATGTTTACTTTGAATTTATATTAGTTCACACAAACACTCCATCCATGCCTTTGTTCCAGCCTTCCGGTCCAGTTTAAGAACCCATTGTGGCCCTCGAGTCAAAAAGTTTGCCCACCCCTGCCCTAACCACTTTGCTTGCCTGCCTCATCGCCCCTAACTGCCTCTGCCTGCCTGCCTGGTCACCCCTAAAAACTCTGCCTGCATGCCTACTCACCACTAATGGCCTCTGCCTGCCTGCCTGATTGCCCCTAACCACTCGCCTGCCTGCCTGATTGCCCCTAACCACTCTGCCTGCCTGATCACCCCAACTGCTCACCTGCTTGCCTGGTCACCCCTAACTGCCTCTGCCTGTCTGCCTGATCGCCCCTAACTGCCTCTGCCTGCCTGCCTCATTGCCCCTCATATTACACTTTTATTATTATAGATAGTTGCCTTGCTCCAAGCTGTAAGGACCTGCTTGTCATAAAGATGGAAAAGTTTTAATTTTTACTCTTGATTATGGCAATTAACTAACACAGATGGCCACCAAAAAGGTGACTCACCAAAGGGTGTATAGCAAACGGTGCTGTTAAGTCCTCTTCCATGAAAACGTGCATGGCATGCATTGTATCTACCTGGGTACATGAAAGAGTGAAGTTTCTGTCTGTCTTTGCAATCATATGAGCGAATTGTGTGAGACCCCAGCACAGTCTGGCTTTGTGCTCACAGAATAGTAGAGGTCTTTTTTTTTTTTTTCTTTGCTCCATTGGTGGATATTTCCTAGAGGTTGCAGGATATCTTCCTTTTAATTTTTCCTCAACACTCTGACTTATGTCTCTCACCTTTGGTTTCCCTCCATCCTCCACCCACAATAACTTGCTCTAGGCTCCCTTTGCTAGAGTGTCTAGGTAGGAGATTGCACAATGCATCTGCCACCAGAACCACTATTCCCAGCATTCCTGGTGCTCCCCGTGCTCTCAGCTTCTGCTTCCGGCCCCAGGCCCCTCCCCTGCCTTCCCCTGATGTGGGGCGCGGACACTGGGTTCGCGTTGCCAGGGCGACGTCGCCAGTGTCCTGCCCCTGCCACTATGGGCGCCACCATCTTTGTCGCAGAGTGATGGTTAATTTAAGTATTACTCTTTTATTAGATAGGATAAGGTCAGCTGATAATGCCTATCCTCGGTCCTGCTTGCTTAGAGTAGTCTCTTTGCTAATAACTACTTAATGTCAGAACACCTGCATGGTTAAGTTTATCTCAAGGGACACCTTGGATAATGCCCCATATACTCTACTCAGACAACCTTTAATTGCTATTGCATGCTTGCTTGTTTTATCCTTTCACTATCAATCTACCATTAGATGCCTCCTCCTTTAAAGTTGTCCAATTCTTTTCCTGAAAGGTTGTTTTCCTAAGACTTTTCCTATGAAGTCTTTTCTCTTTCATTCCATTTCAATTTATTTTTATGATATTACTAGAAGCCCGGTGCATTACATTTATGCACTCGAGGGTATCCCTCAGCCCAGACTGTGCCCTCTCACAGTCTCCCTGCAGGAGCGGGTCTAAACTGTCAGCCGGACATCCCCCAAGGGGTCCTTAGCGCTGCCAAGGAGGTGGGAGAGGTTCCCGCTACCACTGCTGCGCTAGCCAGCCGTGAACCCAGGTCAGGGTTTCTGGCCGAGCAGTGCTCCCCCTGTGGGAGCACACTGACCACCAGGGGACAGCTCCTGCATTGAGTGTCTGCCCCCTCGTGGTCAGTGCGCATCATAGCAAAGGGTCATTCTGCCATTTGGTCGATTTGCATATTAGCCTTTTATTATATAGGATTCTCTATTCTCACCTGAATTAAGTACAATATTTCCTTACCAGGTTTTAGGTTGTCATTATCTGTGATAATTTTTTCCAAGTTCTGCCACAGAGAGTACTTGAACTCTCCACTTTTCTGTGTTTCTCTGCCTAAGTCAACTATGGCATTGATTCTGGAAATCAGTGGTTTCAAAAAGTTTACTGCTTAGTAAATTAGCTTCCTAATGCTGCTGTAACAAATTGCCACAAACTTTTTCTCTCACAATTCATGAAGCTACATGTCTGAAATCAAGGTGTCAGTGGAGCCATAATCACCTCTGAAAGCTTTAGGAAATGATCTTCTCTTACCTCTTCCTTGCTTCTGGTGACTGCCAGCAATCCTTGGCATGCCTTGACTTGCAGGTGCATCACTTACTGCCTCTGTCTTCATATGGCCGACTTTCTTCTGTGATGTCTGTATCTCTGTGTGTCTTCTCCTCTTATAAGGACAATAAGTCAGGTTGAAATTAGGGCTCACTCTAATCCAGTTTGAATTCACCTTAACTAATTATATATGCAGACTATTTTTCCAAATAAAGTCACATTCGGAGTTTCAAGGTGAACATCATTTTAGGGGAATATTACTCCACCCAGTACACTTACTTATACTAAATTATGCTATTGGTATAGATTGCAGTGGTTTTATTTGCTCTGTTCATATATAATATACTTTCTGGGAGAAGGTACAGAAAAATTCAGATTTAGGTAGCTGTCATTACCCTTTAGGAAACTAGATCATCAAAACACTGTAACTGAGCCCTGGCTGGTGTGGCTCACTCAGTAGGTGACGTTGACGTCTCTCTCTCTCTCTCTCTCTCTCCTTTTCTCTCTAATCAATAAAAAATCTTAAAAAAACACACTCTAACTGAGGCTATAAAATCATTCAATTAATCAATTTTAGGTAATGATTATAAAGTTTTTTCTTGATTCTTTTTACATCTGTCAAAAGTGTTTTATCTCAGAAAATTGTTATAACATGTTATTGACAATTAGCATACTTAACTCTTTTTCTCTTCCAGAGTGGTATAAGAACACTGAACTCCTTCAAGAGAGGGGAGGGGCAAAAAATCAGGAGGTGAATATAAAAAAACAAAATTATTTTTGAAAACACCTAGTTAATAATTTTGCCAAAGGATGTTTCTCATCAGAGCAACATAGAAACCAGTTGACTTAACAGACCTGAGAATTATTTTGATCACCACAAACTTTTTTGATGTGAAGATACTTAGAATTGTTTTATTAATTTTGTTATTAATTTTTTGTTATTAAATGTATTGGGGATTACACTGATAATAAGATCATATAGGTTTCAAGTGTACATTTCTATGATACATGATCAGTATATTTGCATTGTGTGCCCACCACCCAAAGTCAAATCATCTTCTGTCACCATTTATTTGGTCCCCCTTACCCTTTACAACCCCCCACACTGGTAACCACCACACTGTTGTCTGTGTTTACGAGTTTCAGTTTCAGTCCCGCATATGATTTCATATAGTTGATAGCTTTTTCTGACTTATTTTGCTTAGCATGATATTCTCAAGGTCCATCCGTGTTTTGGCAAATGGCAGTACTTCACCTTTTCTTATAGCTGAGTTATATTCCATTGTATATATATATATATATACCACATCTAGGTTATGGAGAAAAAGGAGCCCTCATTCACTGCTGGTGGAAATGTAATCTGGTACAGCCACAATGGAAAACAGTATGGAGGTTCTTCAAAAAATTAAGATCTTGTTAATAAGCTATGTCTATATCTGATATGTAAGTTAAGTTCAGCTTAACTTCTTGCCCATCAGACCTTATTCCTCTGCACTCTATGGGTTCAAAAGAATTTTATCAAAAGATGCTTTTTTAAAAAAAATTTAAATCTGTATTGTTGAAAGTATTACGTATGTCCCCTTTTTCCCCCGACTCTGAACAGCTCTGTGCTACCACATGGCGACCTTTGCCATCAAATAGAAGCATCCATGGTTCTTAAAGTGCCTGCCGCAGGCCCCACCTTCACTCTGGTGGCTGCTAAATCCTGAAGGAGCTCTTCCCAGGTGACACTACAGGCCAGAAGGTGGGGGCGGGAGGGGGGGGCATGCTACTTTAGCTTAACTGCATTGGCAATATTTACAGCTCTTAACAATAGCCTACCCCTGCCCCTTGCCCCAGGCCTTCACCACCCTATTGCGTGTGTCATGGATTATGCATATATGCATACAAGTTCTTTGGTTGATCTCTTCCCACGCACCCTCCTATTCCCTGCCTTCCCTCTGTTTTCTGGTCCATTTTTTTTCATCCACTGAAAATGTTCCTTTATTTCTTAATTTCTGTGTGAATGCCATCCTAACATTTTTCTAGCTGGCTTCCAGACAAATTGTAAAGCAGCCAATTACCCTAAGCAAATTATATAGGATTCTCATGGTTCTTTTTCCTGGTTTCATCTTGGTTGATTTGATCAAACTAGAGTTTTCATATAAGCGATAAGGCATTCCAGTGGAAGGGTTGGAGAATAAAGAAAGCTTGCAAAACAAACCACGTATTTCAAAGTTTTTACTTTTTTCTGAGTAAACAGAGACTCTCCTTGTGATAATCTCAGATTTAAGAAAATATTAAAAAGCATACACTTCTAGTATATTTTAAAAATAATAACCATTAGTATTTTTAAAATCTCATTCTTTGTTTAGTTTTGTAGCTTCATTTGTTCAAACTAGAGAAGACATTTAATACATTCATTAGGTGAGAACTAACGGGTGTCTGTCACAATAGTAAATCACCTAATTACCACCTATTTGTTGAATTTTTGCTGTGTGCAAAGCATAGTTGTTGGCCAAAGAGAGACAAAGACAAATGTACAAGGAAGAGGCTGGAGGTGGGTAACTAAAATGTATCCATCACCTTTGCTTTGAAAAGTTTACTGATTTCTAACAAAAAGTACTATGATTTGAATTTAGAACCTTTGGTGTGACAAATTTAATTCTCACAGATGGATGAAAATGGATTATTACTTATTTTTACAAGCAGAGAAAACTCATTGCTTACATTCTTAGCTACAGCTCCTAAACCACTCCATACCTTTTTTTTCCCCCTGAAACAAACTTTCCTCTTCTCCCCCAGCCAGCCCCAGTGGGATCACCATTATAGGCTCTGGGACCAGGACAAGACATATGACATGTGAATGTTTCCTCACTGGGAAACCACTCCATAACTTTCTGATGACGTATTTGTAGGTCACTGACAGTTGGATTTGAGTGTCTTTCATTCTCCTCAATTTCTTTTGCATGAGAAAAAGCTGAAGCCAAAGAATCAATGTGAAGGGAACTGTAATTTATATCCTGATAAGAAATTACTATAGTTTCCTTGATCATAGTATTCTTTTTAAATTCAGAGTATGATTTCCATCTGTTTTAGCTAATTTACTAGCACAGATTATGCATAATTATAACTTCTAGATTATGGGTCATATTTCATAAAAAGGACCACTCTTACCACAGACATGCAAGACTCTTACCTGAAATAAAGCTACATTATCTCATTGAAACATAAGGTAATGAATGTTAATTTTCTGATCTGAAAGTATTGAAACTCTCTTCCAATGTAACATGAACTAAAGGGAGATGGTTTAATGTTTAACATAGGATTCTTAGTTTATCATTGTTATTTCTAGGAAAACAAGCTTATGAAGTGATTTAAATACAGTAATTACTGATCACATATGCTAAAGGGGAAATTTTTTAATTTAGCATAGTTTGAAATTATTTTTTCTTCCATACACAAAATTTGCATTTATTAACTAGAATGGATTTGTAATCAAATTATTGATCATCATTTTAAATGTAATAATTCATAGATAAAATTCATAATTTGCATATATATTTAATAAAATTCACCTATCTCATTTTACAAATGAAAATAGATAAAATTAGGTTACAGAAGGAAAGACAAAATAAAAAGGAGATGTTTTCTGGACAAAAGAATAAGAGTTTAATTTTATCCAATGGTGGAAATGTAAATGAACATTAATTAGGTGAATTAAAGCACTGAAAATTTGACAAAAGCAATTGTAATGAAGCACTCAAATCATAAAAGAGAAATCATTTATGAACAAAAAGTTCTTTTTAGAGAATATTTCCAAATTAATCTATTAAATGAGATGGTCCTTCAAAATGTGATTTTTATTTTTACAATAATTTCTCCAGTTTTGATATTAGAAAATGCAAAGCATTATTTTAAACATTAATACAGATAAAAGTGGATTATTGTCACATTATTCTGGCTTAGCTTCTTTTTTATTTCTTTGCTGTTTGTAATTAGTACAGAGGTTTAGAATATTTTCTGTTTGAAATATGGGATATAATCATTACCAACAGTGAAAAGAAAATTATAATAGCAAAATAATAACTATCAAGACTGGGATAAGTTTCAGTTGGTAGTAGAAGGTTCTGTATGAAATTCTAACTTTAAATTTTTACACTTTTCCTTTTGTTCTGCAAAGTCTGAAGCATTTCTAATGTTCTCTGTTGGAAATCATTTATCAGTTTAATGAACACATTCAAGGGAAGATAACCATAGGGGAGGAGGGAAGATCTGATTCTTTTGTTGCACATGTAGTATAACTGCCCATCTCTCAGTATATCTGACAGACTCCAAACATTAAATTAACTGAAATGAAAACCTCATTCTGAACTGATTTCCCATACATACCAAACAGCCTGTGAAACGCCTCAGATTTTATGTCCAAATCCATTAAGCACACTGCAGAGAAAAGTATAGCAAGTGCATGGTTGAATATATGCCCATAGAAAGCTTCCATACTTTGTTAACTTCATAGCTGAATTGATCCACAGGGTGCAAAGCTAGGCACTGAGTAGACTAAATGGCCTGGCATAGTTGGGAATGGAATTGCATTCTGAATGAAAGCACAACATTGGGAAGAAACTCAAAAACAGAATCATTTCCTATCCTGTGATCTTTCTACTGTTCATGTAAATTTAAGTATGTGGAAATGGAGCTTGTCAGTTATTGCGCTCAGAGGCAATGCCAGTTGTTGGAGTGATGAGGTTTTAGTAAAGACCAGTTTGATGAAAACCTCAAGAATCCTTCCTTTGATTATGTATTTCTTATAGATCTTTAAGGGTTGCACTAGATCACTGATAGAAGTTATTAATTTTATCAATTTTTGTTATTATCTGTATTTGAACACATTTCATTGGCATACAGAAAAAGTTTGTTGTTTTTTTTTTCTTGATTAAAGGCCATATACAACTATCTAACAGTCAGTAGCAGGAGGTTAATGGCAATGAACTAGAATAAAACTAAATGTCACCTCATCTTACTTTTCTTTAAAACCTTCTAAGTAGATAAGACATGTTCAGAAAGCTGTAAAATGTGCCCTTTGCTTACAAGAAAAAGGTCACTTCTGAGCTAACAAATTATAATAGGCTACTCATAAATGATCACATCAGTGACTGAAATATGGTGCTGTGCACACTTTAAATGTTGGTGCAATTACTTTAGCCTTAACTAGTGATTCTTTTTTTTTACCTGAGAGGAAGTATCTTGGAGCTTTTGAAAAATTATAAAATTTAATATAAATTCATGAACCAACAAATATCTTAAAGTCAATATAATTATATTTGTTTTGTCACCTACACAGCTTACCTTTCAAATCTACATACTTAATTATGCATGATCATAGACCCATCAACTACTATGCTGAGGAAACATAACTTTTTGGACTACAGCAGACATGGTGTTGAAAAGTGTGGACAGGTTCCAGGGGCACGCTCTATTGTACTGTATTCTTTTGTAGAAACATTGTAAAGCAGCTGTCATAAAGGGCAGTTGAAACCACATGCACTTCCTCAGCTAAAGTAAAAATTTAAATCTGACTATTTTACAGCTATAATGATAACAATGGAGACAGAAGCATGGCCATTCTCACATCCTTTATTTCTATTTACTTTTGTTTCTGTTTTTATACCATCTACGGATTATTTGAAAACTTTCAGAAACCATTTGTTAAAGACAATTTCTATGTTCACAGAAAACATCCAAATTGCTACTGCTAATAAAATGGCTCAAGATCCTCCAAATTAGAAAAGCCAACTTGTAATGTCATATACCAGCCACTAGATATGCAGCTAATATAATAGGTGTCAGATAATGGATACTGGATGATGTTTTTTCATGGTAAGTCAATGACAAACATTCTTAGTCCCATGTCCTCATGCACGCATAAAGAAGTAATATTTAAACCCAGAGCATTTGTAAAAGGGAAGTTCAAATTCTCAGTTGCTAATAGCTAACTCGAACAGTAGTTGTTAAAATGCAATGCCTGTCCACATCCCTCAAATCTCCCGTAAGGATAATCTGACACAGAATTGACACGTGACAAAATTTCATAAGGTAAAAAAAAAACAGCAGCACATGCCGCATTTGGTTAATAGGCAGCTTGTCTACAATGCCAATTTTATGGGAAAAAATCACCTGTTTAAGAAAGCAACAACTCTTAGGCTCTGGAGAAATTTTTTGTTACCATGTATAAAGATGTATTTTAATCTTTATTTTTATAATATTTTAAAAATATTTATAAAACCTTGAGTCAGACTCTTCACTTTTTTTTCTTTGTTATTACAAATAGCTCAGACAGGGTCTCATTCTGTTGCTTGGAAATCATCAGTGATTTCTGATTCCCTATAGGATAAAGTACAATTTCCTTAGATTTTTATCCATTGTCATTCCTAATCTGGCCCTAAGGAACATTTCCAGAATCAAGGCTAAATGTGCATGACATTATTTTGCTACAATTGACTAATTGCTGCTTCTCACACAAATCATTAATTTTTGTCTCTGTGTAATTTCACTTGTTTTTTTTCTGTCAAAAAAGTTTTTTACAACCCTTTTCATCTAGAAATATCTTTCTATATCTTTTTTTTCTTAATTAAATCTTTATTGTTCAGATTATTACATTTGTTCCTCTTTTTTCCCCCCATAACTCCCCTCCTCCCAGTTCCCGCCCCACCATCTGCCCTCACTCCCCACCCACTGTCCTCATCCATAGGTGCACGATTTTTGTCCAGTCTCTTCCCGCATCTCCCACACCCCTTTCCCCCCCAAGAATAGTCAGTCCATTCCCTTTCTATGTCCCTGATTCTATTATGATCACCAGATTATTTATTCACTTGATTCTTAGACTCACTTGTTGTAGAAATATCTTTCTATATCTTGACTTACCCAAATATTACTTATTTCCTGACACTTTCTTTGGAAACTCCTCTAATCTTGTTCATTTATTTATTCAACAAACATTTATTGAATTTTCTCCATATGGCAGGCACTTGTTCACTGGGGATACTCACCAGATAAGGAAGACAGGGAGTATATAAGATGAAATTGATCACTTTTCCTTACTAATGTAGTTTTTATTCATGTTAATAATAATATCATTATTTGTGTTTATTTCTGTCTCCTCCATTAGTATGTGAGCTCTCCAGCCAAGTCAGGAGAAACATATTATTCTTCCTTGAATTTCTACAATATTGTCTTTTGAAGTCTTATCATAATGATTTTTTGGTAAAGAACCATTAAATTAAATGAATGCATGATTATATTAAGTATGCAACTGAATCATATTATCTTACTCTCTCCCAAATTCAGTTAAGCTTATATATTCTATAAAATCACGTTCTTCATAAGGGGTGAAATAATTAAAGCAAGTATCAAGATTATAGGGTCCTTGACTAATAAGTATTCTGTATCTAATATTCTATCCCATAATAGTACCTAGAATGATTCTCAGCATATTTTAAGTGTTCAATAAGGGTGTGACTGACTAATGAGAAAATTTTTTATGTTCTTAGGAAAGAAGTTTATATAAGGAAAGTAAAGTTTTAAGTCAAAGTAAGAATCTTTCTAAGATTCATATCCTGCAACCCCTTTTCTTTTAAAAATGTTAAGATGGATTTATTTCAATTTGAATTGAAGAAAATATAACAAATGTATGACTGGATTCAGAAAATGGAAAAATAGCTTAGTATCTTGTGGCACATTTCAAAGAAAAAAAACATTAAGATTTTTACTAAAACTCCTAGTAAATATTTTTTAATGCTATATTTGTCATAAAAAGAAAGGAACATAAAGGAAATGTGATAGTTTACCCAATAACCTGATCATAATTTTTGGGGGTTTTAATT